GCAGGAAAGGGGGGCACGTGTTTGTGGAGAGCAAACAGGCGGTTCGCGGAGGCTGGAGTCCCGTCCCACTCTCCCACCCGTCAGGGCGCCCCTCTTCGAGTCGGCGCACTGCTCCGGGCCAGTCCGTTGCCCTTGGGCAGGGCCGCAGGGCTTGTCTTGTTGTGCTGGTGGAGGTTAGACGCGCCTGTGCGCTGGGTGCCATGCACGCTGCAGAGCAGTGAGGTGTGGCTGGCTGTTCTCGTCTCCTGGGTTTCCTGGTGGGAGCCCCTGTAAAGAGAAGCCTTCTTTTCATGTGCTTTGTGGCGGTTGTGCCTGGGCCACTTCTGGGGGCCCCTCGGAAACCTTAGCTCTTCCGCCCTTTCCTGTCCCTACTAGGGCGTTTGGGGCGGGCCCTCACCTCCGGCAACTCCTGCCCTGCTTACGCGGGTACGTGTGTCGAGTGCCGGTTGGAGGGTCACAGGCTTGTGGTGTAAGTGTGGCCCATCAGCAGGATGGGGAGTTTGGTGCACGTGCAGACGCCTGGGCTGAGCCCAGGCCCATTGAGTCCACCTCTCCAGTGCTGGACTTGAGTCTTGGTGTGACCACAAATACCATGAGGGGTTTGGCTCTCTGTTGCCAGGTTTTGGGCAGTCATTAGCGGTTTCTGAGCAGGGAGGGTAATTTGGTGGAGCCCACGTCTCTTGAAATTGAGTATGGGGGTGGGAAACGGGCATAGGGTTCTCGGACACAGGGAGAGGCTGGGGGCCCGTTGCTGCAGTGTGGGGTCCCTGCAAAGGGGTGGGCGTGGGAGGGAGAGACGCGCACTGTTCCAAGGTGACGTCTGGGGGTCCCTGCCTGGTGGGCGGAGGTGGGGTCCGCCAGGAGCTGAGGGGCACCCTTTGTCACTTTCGCAGTGTTCAGTGCAGCGGTAGTGACTGGGGCCATCTCAGACCCTGTTAAACTGTGGCTGCACGTGTGTCTGACCCCAGCTTAGCCCCTGTGTGTTGTGGGGTCTCTTTTACACCCGTTTCCACATCTGTAAATGGAAGAGTCTTCTGGAACGTTCGTTTCTCACCATGGGGTCACGAATCTCTGAAAATCTGTTGAAAGTCATACTTTCTCCCCACAAAAACACAGGTTTGTGAGTGGGTGCGTGTAGACGTGAGATTTTGCGTGCTAGTCCAGGGACCCCTTCCCCAAAGTGTGATCAGCCAGCTCCAGCGGACAGCAGAAGTTGGAGTCCAGCAGTTGCCCTGGCATTAGAGGTTCGAGGGGCTGGGAGGGTGTTTTGGCCTGGCCTGGCAGGCACGAGTCTGTTGCGTCTTTTTTAATATATATATATTTAAATTTATTTTTATTTATTTGTTTAGGCTGTGTTGGGTCTTCGTTGCTGCGCGCAGGCTTTCTCTGTTTGCGCCGAGCGGGGGCTACTCTTCGTGGCGGTGCGCAGCCTTCACATTGCGGTGGCTTCTTTTGTTGCGGAGCACGGGCTCTAGGCACACGGGCTCCATGGCATGTGGGATCTTCCCGGACCAGGGCTTGAACCTGTGTCCCCTGCATTGGCAGGCGGGTTCTTAACCACTGTGCCACCAGGGAAGCCCTGTTGGGTCTTTCGGTCAGGGTGTTGCCATAATTTTGCTCATTTGGGGCCTGTCATGACCCCAGGCTCTGGCCGCTGTCCAGTGTCTCTGTGGTTTTCTGAGAGCTGCCACCACTAGGTGGCACCGGCCCCCCCTTGGTGATCGTGGCTCCCTGCGACCTTGGGACCTGTAGAGGGCTCTGTGGTCTTGCAGAGGTTAGGAACAGAGAAGGGTCCACATGGCACGACAGTGGTCACCCTCTTCCTAGTTTGGGATTTCTTAAATCGTGAGGACCCAGGGATAACAGGGCGGTGGGGGGTGACTTGGCTGGTGAGTCAGCCAGGGCAAACCTATAGGGAAGCCTGCTGGGCCGAGTGTCCTTATCTGCCAGACGAGTTTGTCCACCCTTGACGTCATCTGATCCCCTGTCTCCGGCACATGGGTCATGTGAGTCGGGGGCCGGTTGACATCAGGACTTTGAGGGTGCGAGGGAATGCCCTGCATGGGTGAGGTGGGGCCTGTGCACGTGCAGGCGCTGGTGTGGGGAGGAGCGTGGTTGCGTCTAGTGTCTGATGTTCTTGTCCCAGGGTCCTGAGGGTTGGACTGAGGGAGTGGGCAGTGGTACGGAGGGCTGTGACTCGCTGAGCCTCATTCCTCGGTGGCATATGGTGTGTCGGGATGATTTGAAGGTACTGAAGAGGGGCACCCTGTGACGTGTCTGCGAAATACCTGGGGATAAATTGAACAAGGTATGCGTGTGGGACCCATACGCTGGAAACAGTAAGATGTCGCTGAGAGAAATTAAGGATAACCTGATAACAATGTAAGTAACTGGAGAGAGATACGGATTGGAGTACTCGGTATTGTTAAGGCAATTCATAGGTTCAGCACAATCCCGGTCAGAGTCCCAGGAGGATTTTTGGGGAGAAATCGACAAACTGATTGTAAAATCTCCGTAGAAATCACAGGAAGGGACCTGTGACGGCTGTCAGCGTTTGGAAGAAGAATGAGTCAGGGGGCTTCCAGCAGCTGCTTGCAGGCACGCTGGGAACGGCATTGACAGTCAAGAGGGTGGTCATGGTGTAAGGGTAGGCGCGTAAATCAATGGGGCAGGATAGAAAGTTCAGGAATAATCTAAGAATGTAGAGTCAATTGATTTTTGTCAAAGGTGACAAGATAATTCAATGGGAGAGAGTCTTTCAACAAATGGTGCTGAAACAGCAGGGAATCTGTATAAATAGAGACCTCATACTGTCCACAAAATCAGTTCAGTGGGGCATGGACTTAAATGTAAAAACAAACTTTTGGAAGCTTGGGTTTGGTAAAGGGTTCTTAGGACACAAGAAGCCTGAACCATAGATGAAAAAGATGGTGAGTTAGGCTTCAAAGTGAGAGGCTTCTGCTTTCCAAAGACACAGTTAAGAAAAAAATAAGGCAGAACATAGACTAGGAGAAAATGTTTGCAACATGTGTGTCTGACTGAGGACTTCTACCCACAGTACAGAAAATATTCCTCCAAATTGATAAGATGACCAAATTTAAAAAATGGGTGAAAGACTTTGAACAGATAACTTTGAGAAGATATGAGTGATGAAAAAGGACATGAAGAATGCTCGGTGTCATTAGTCACAAGAGGAGTATAGGGGGGCTTCCCTGGTGGCGCAGTGGCTGAGAGTCCGCCTGCCGATGCAGGGGACACGGGTTCGTGCCCCGGTCCGGGAGGATCCCACATGCGGTGGAGCG